AAATCTTGTCAAAGGAAAGCAATGTCCAACAAAGCTCATACACAAGCCTTTTTTCATTCGCATTTCTTAGGTGAAAACCATAATGGCTTAATGAATGACTGTGATATAGTCATAATTGATAAAACCAACCCAGCAGAACCAACGATTAGGGAAATGTACTGGATTAATAGACTTATGACAATGTACCCCTCGGGGTTGAATATTGAACAGGATTCTGAGGAGTATGAATAATTATGTTCGTCTGGTAGGGTATATAAGTAGGGGTTTATGTTAACGATTTTTACTTTGAAGAAGACATTAAAGTCGAAACGTCAAAAAATATGTGTCAGTGATTAACTTATTTAAATGGCTTTTTGCCAGGTGATTAACTTATATATATATATATATATATATATATATATATATATATATATATATATATATATATATATATATATATATATATATATATATATATATATATATATATATATATATATATATATATATATATATATATTATAATATAGCCATCCACCGTATATGAGCTGTTCTGCAATCTGATTGGTTGAATTACTCGCCGTATATCAGCTCATATACGGCGAGTAGCGAAAAACAAGATGGCGGTCCAAAAACTACATGAGCTTTGCGAAGCAGAAAAAGAAAAATATTCGCTTTGAGAAACATAATAGTACAAGGAAAAACTCTCAAAATATTTGACAGGTTAGCAAAATACATTTAACAATAATAATACAAATAATAATAATAATAATAATTAATACATTTTTGTTCTAATTGATGACTTCAACTACCCTAATATCCAATGGCCTAACGGTTCTGGTTTCTCTACTTCAGCTTCAGAAACTAGTTTCATTGACAGCATCACTGAGTTTAGTTATCTGCAATTGATTAACTCACCTACCCGCGGTAACAACCTCATCGACCTGGTTTTAACTACAAATGAACATTTGACCGACAACTTTGAAGTTACTGATGACGACCCCATCTCTCTACCTTCTGATCACAAAGCTATATTTTTCGACCTAAAACTCCATCAACAACCTAAACAATCCTCCGAACGTGTGGTCTATAATTATGCTAAGGGTGATTTCGTTGGCCTATTTAACAGTCTAAGGAACACTCTACTAGTTGATATAGTCCTCAACGAAAGCAACAACGTTAATCTTGCCTGGGCTAAGTGGAAGGACGCTTTCCTTGCCGCTGTTGATCATTTCATCCCCAAAACAAAGCTCAAGCGTTCTTTTACACCACCATACATCACCAAGGACTTACTTCACGCCATTAAGATGAAAAAGTCTCTAAGAAGAAAGGCAAAGGCTAAGAGCTCGCCTGAACTTTGGAAGAAATTCCGCAAAACTCGGCAACACGTCAAGTGTTGGATAAATTCTAAGAAGAGAGAATATCTCTCTGGACTGTCCGAACATGTGTATAATAACCCTAAATCCTTCTGGAGATTCTTTAAATGTAAATCCTCGAAATTTTCGATCCCTGACGTGATGAAGTTGGATGGTCAGAAACTTTTTTCTGCAAAGGAAAAAGCGGATGGCTTTAACCAATTTTTTACGTCAGTCTTCACCTCCGACACAAGTTCTTCACCTCTTTTCACTCCCTCTAGTTCAGCTTCTAACTCTCTTGACTTATTAAATGTATCTGAATCTGATGTTCAGTCTTTGTTGTCCAATTTGTCACCCTCTAAGGCTACTGGTCCTGATGGTATTCCAGCTTACCTTCTAAAGCGATGTTCTGAGGTAATTGCCCCTTCTTTGACTGCTCTCTTTGAGTTATCTCTTCAGCAGGGTGTTTTTCCTTCTGAATGGAAAGCCGCTAATGTCGTGCCTATACCCAAAAAAGGTGACACTCATGAGGTCACTAACTACAGACCAGTTTCCTTACTCTCTCAAGTCTCAAAAGTTCTCGAACGTTTAATTTTTAATCAGGTTTCTTCTTTTGTTGAAAACTCCTTGTACGACCTTCAACATGGCTTTCGCTGCAAAAGGTCGTGTGTTACTCAAATTTTGAGTGTACTTCACGACCTTGGTCGTACTCTTGATTCTGGAAAGGACACAGACCTCATTTATCTCGACTTTGCTAAAGCGTTTGACTCGGTGTCCCACAGCAAACTTTTGTTCAAACTTAAATCGTTTGGAATCTCAGGTCCACTTCTTAACTGGTTTGCTGATTTCCTTCGTGATCGCAAACCGTGTGTTGTCATTGAAGGAGCTTCCTCATCTTTTCTTAATGTTACCTCTGGGGTGCCACAAGGTAGTGTAATAGGTCCTCTTTTGTTCATTCTTTATGTAAATGACCTTCCAGAGGTAACAAATAATAGTACCGTTGCACTTTTTGCTGATGACAGCAAGTTTTATCGTGCTATACGATCACCAGTTGATCGTGGTCTCCTTCAGCTTGACCTGGACAGTAGTAATATAGAGGCCGTTCGGGCCTTATTTTTAAGGGGCCGCAAGGGGGCCGCATCATTATATATGCATGTAATTACTATGCAAGGGGGCCGCACATTATATATGCAAGTAATTATTATGTAAGGGGCGGCGTATGCAAGTAATTAAGGGGGCCGCACAAGTGAGGGTGCGTAGTGACGTCACGCGGGCAGGATCAGGTAAGTAATGACGTCACGCGGGCCTGTTCGGGCGAAATTGAACAAAACTTGCTGACTACGCA